ATACCAAAAACTGTCCAGCATAATGTACAAAATTACAGTTTAGACTGTGTATCATTATTCACTTTCACTCTATGATACCTTGAATGCAGAGTTCTTTATCTAGATAATAATAAATAAGGCACGTCTTTCTATCTGATGCAGGTACATCCAACATTTCAGGATCCATATCTTAGATTCTAATATTAGTTTTAAAACACTAGACATAGATGTTGCTTTTAAATTTTATTTGTCAAAGAAACTAAGCTGGACTTTTTGAGCTGCACTGTCAAACATGGATGGATTACTGAACAGGCCAGCTGGGCACAGGGCCTGGCCTCCATCTGCAAAATGTCACTCAGACTACCAACCACGAAGAGACTCATAATTACCACAAAGAGACACAAAGAGATGCAAAGGAAGTGCAAAGAGACACAAAATCATGGGTGAATCATAAGACAGTGGGCCCCTGGGCACATATATACAAAAGGCCCCACCACCTCTACCACTCAGGAGCAAGACAGGCAGACTTTGTGGTGGTCTCATATCTCTTTGTAGTCAGTTTGTGTTTCCTTGTGGTTGCTCTGCTGGCACAGTGGTGTGGTGGTTAGCACTGCCTCACAGCAAGAGGGTTCCTGGTTCGATTCCAGGAGGGAGCCCTTCTGTGTGGAGTTTGCATTTTCTGCTCGTGTCAGCGTGGGTTTTCTCCAGGTACTCCAGCTTCCTCCCACAGTCCAAAGACATGTAGGTTAATTGGTGACTCTAAATTGTCCGTAGGTGTGAATGGTTGTCTGTCTCTATGTGTCAGCCCTGTGATAGTCTGGTGAGCTGTCCAGTGTGTACCCTGCCTCTCTCCCAATGTCAGCTGGGATAGGCTCCAGCCCCCCCATGACCCTTACAGGGATAAGTGGTTACAAAAATGGATGGATGGATGGATTTATTTGAGGAATTTCAGTCAGGATTTAGAGTGCATCATAGCACTGAGACAGCACTAGTTAAAATTACAAATGACCTTCTGATTGCTTCAGACAAAGGACTCGTCTCAGTACTTGTTTTATTAGATCTTAGTGCGGCGTTTGACACTATTGACCATCAAATTCTGCTACAGAGACTGGAACACTTAATTGGCCTAAAAGGTTCTGCACTAAGCTGGTTTAAATCTTATTTATCTGATCATTTTCAGTTTGTTCACATTCATAATGAATCATCCTTATGTACTAAAGTTTGTTTTGGAGTTCCGCAAGGTTCTATGCTCGGACCAGTCCTATTTACTGCTTCCTTTAGGTAACATCATTAGAATTCACTCTATAAATTTCCATTGTTATGCAGATGATACACAGTTGTATTTATCTATGAAGCCAGAAGAAAATAATCAATTAACTAAACTCCATAACTGCCTTAAAGACATAAAAACCTGGATGAGCACCAATTTCCTGATGTTAAATTCGGACAAAACTGAAGTTATTGTTCTTGGCCCCAAACAACTCAGAGACTCTTTATCTGATGACATAGTTTCTCTAGATGGCATTGCTCTGGCCTCTAGCACTACCGTAAGAAACCTCGGAGTAATATTTGATCAAGATTTGTCTTTTAATTCTCATTTAAAGCAAACCTCACGGACTGCATTTTTTCATCTGCGTAATATTGCGAAAATTAGGCCTATCCTGACCCGAAAAGATGCAGAAAAATTGGTCCACGCTTTTGTTACCTCAAGGCTGGATTACTGTAACTCTCTATTATCAGGTAGCTCTAGTAAGTCCTTAAAAACTCTCCAGCTAATTCAGAATGCAGCAGCACGTGTACTAACAGGAACTAAGAAACGAGATCATATTTCTCCTGTTTTAGCTTCTCTGCACTGGCTCCCTGTAAAATCCAGAATTGAATTTAAAATCCTACTGTTAACTTATAAAGCTCTAAATGGTCAAGCTCCGTCATATCTTAGAGAGCTCATAGTGCCATATTATCCCACCAGAACACTGCGCTCTGAGAACGCAGGGTTACTCGTGGTCCCTAAAGTCTCCAAAAGTAGATCAGGAGCCAGAGCCTTCAGCTATCAGGCTCCTCTCCTGTGGAATCATCTTCCTGTTACGGTCCGGGAGGCAGACACCGTCTCCACATTTAAGACTAGACTTAAGACTTTCCTCTTTGATAAAGCTTATAGTTAGGGCTGGCTCAGGCTTGCCCTGTACCAGCCCCTAGTTAGGCTGACTTAGGCCTAGTCTGCTGGAGGACCCCCCTATAATACACTGGGCACCTTCTCTCTCTCTCTCTCTCTCTCTCTCTCTCGTATCCTATTACTGCATCTTGCTAACTCGGCCATTCTGGATGTCACTAACTCGGCTTCTTCTCCGGAGCCTTTGTGCTCCACTGTCTCTCAGATTAACTCATATTACAGCTGTGCCTGGATAGTGTGATGTGTGTGGTTGTGCTGCTGCCTGGTCCTGCCAGATGCCTCCTGCTGCTGCCATCATTAGTCATACTTCTACTGTTATTATACACATATGATTAGTGTCACATATGTATACTGCCATACATACTTTCAACATATTGTATCGCAGTAGCCAGAACTATAATTATAATGTTATTACTTTCATTAATGTTGTTGTAAGCTACTGTCATTACCGTCTGTCCTGCATCTCTCTCTGTCTCTCTCTCTCTGTCTCTCTCTCTCTCTCGCTTTCTGTCTCATTGTGTCATACGGATTACTGTTAATTTATTATGCTGATCTGTTCTGTACAACATCTATTGCATGTCTGTCCGTCCTGGAAGAGGGATCCCTCCTCAGTTGCTCTTCCTGAGGTTTCTACCATTTTTTTCCCCCGTTAAAGTTTTTTTTGGGGAGTTTTTCCTTATCCGCTGTGAGGGTCCAAAGGACAGAGGGATGTCGTATGCTGTAAAGCCCTGTGAGGCAAATTGTGATTTGTGATATTGGGCTTTATAAATAAAACTGATTGAATTGATTGATGTGGTTGTTCTGTGGCCTTTGCTGTGCTTGGAGGGAAATTTACGTCTTATTAAGGTACATTTGTGTCTCTCTGAGGTAATTTTGTGTCTTATGAAGTAACTTTGTCCTTCTTTGATGTTACAGTGTGGCTCTTCTGGTTGTTTTGTGTCTCTTTGTAGTCCTTTTGTGTCTCTTTGGGGTAATTTTGTGTCTTATTAAGGTAACTTTGTCCTTCTCTGATGTTACAGTGTGGCTCTTCTGGTTGTTTTGTGTCTCTTTGTAGTCCTTTTGTGTCTCTTTGGGGTAATTTTGTGTCTTATTAAGGTAACTTTGTGTCACTCTGAGGCCTTTTTAGTTGTTTTGTGTCTCTTTGAGGTCATTTTGTGTATTATTAAGTAACTTTGTCCTTTGATGTACCATTGTGGCTTTTTTGGTTGTTTTGTGTCTCTTTGTAGTCCTTTTGTGTCTCTTTGGGGTAATTTTGTGTCTTATTAAGGTAACTTTGTGTCACTCTTAGGCCTTTTTAGTTGTTTTGTGTCTCTTTGAGGTCATTTTGTGTCTCATTAAGTAACTTTGTCATTCTTTGACATAATGCTGTGGCTTTTTTGGCTGTTTTGTGTCACTTTGTAGTCATTTAGCCTCTCTTTTAGGTGACAATGGGCCTCTGAGCACAGATATACAAAAGGCCCCACCACCTCTAGTACTCAGGAGCAAGACAGGCAGACTTTGTGATGGTCTTGTGTTTCTTTGTAGTCATTTTGTATTTCCTTGTGGTTGTTCTATATCTCTTTGAGATAATTCTATGTAAGGTAACTTTGTGTCTCTGCGGAAATTGTGTGCCTTCTTGGTTGGTTACTGTCTCTTTGTAGTCATTTTGTGTCTTTCTGAGGTACCTTTGTGTCACTATGAGGTCATTTTGTGCCCTTTTTGTGTTGTTTTGTGTCTCTATGTAGTTGTTTTGTGTCTATTTGAGGTCATTTTGTGTCTCTTTGAGATAACTGTGTGTCTTGTTTGGTCAATTTGTGTCTCTTGTTAGTCATTTTGTGTTTCTCTGTGGTTGTTCTGTGTCTCTTTAAGATACCTGTGTGCCTTTTTGGTTGTTGAGTGTCACTTTGTAGTCATTTAGCCTCTTTTTGGGGTGATTTTTGTGGTCGTTTTATATCTCTTGTTAGTCATTTTGTGTTTCCTTGTGGTTGTTCTGTGTCTCTTTGAGGTAATTTTGTGCTTTTCTGTTTGTTTTCTGTCTCTTTGGGGTAACTGTGTGATTTTTGGTTGTTTTGTGTGTCTTTGAGGTCATTTTGTGTCTTATTAAATAACTTTGTGTCTCTCTGAGGTAACTGTGTGCCTTTTTTGGTCGTTTTGTGTCTCTGAGGTCATTTTGTGTCTTTTTGAGATAACTTTGTACCTTTTTTGGTTGTTTTCTGTCTCTTTGTAGTCATTTTGTGTCTCTTTGACGTGATGTGTCTCTTTGAGATAATTGTGTGCCTTATTTGGTTGTTTTCTGTCTCTTTGTAGTCGTTTTGTGTCTCTGAGGTTGTTATATTTGGGTCTCTAATTATGTTTTACACCACACAGAACTTATACATATGTAGATTTAACATATCTTTCAGCAGCATGTAATCAGATCAAAATCATATTTATAAGGAATCTTAAGTTTTAGTGAATACCATGATGTATCAAGCTGATAAAAACACTGTTATAAATATTTTTTAGTTATTAAATGGATCCCCAAACAGAAAAAGAGGCTTTAAATTATGAGTCTTGTTTTTGGGAGCAGCAGTCTGTGTTATATCACTGTATCTGTACTGGTGGGCTGCAGTGACACGTATTGCAGTGAGACATTGTGATACCACTGTTTGCCAGCTGAGCTCCGCTGCTGCTGCTGCTGCTGATCAACCTGAGGCTGATATTACCTGTTGAGGCTTGGGGCCCTCATACGTCATCCCAGTTAACGACCAAGAGGCAAATCATGACGGACAGCACAGCGGACCAATCACGTGGAGGCTAGTGACAGGTGTCGATCAGCCATTGACCATTAGGAGCGAGCGAGGGGCGGGAACAAGGAAACTGACGTTACGTCGCAGCCTCGGTAATGGCAAGTGACAGAGGGTGAGGAAGACGAGGCGAAACTTTTTCAGCTGCCAGTTGCTGTTGGTTGTTTTTAAGCGTGATAACAACGGCGGTGTCGCGTTCTTGTATTCTGACAATAATTTACCGCTGAGTGATTATTAACCGTCGTCCGCGTGAGGCTAATTAAAGTCGTTAACGGCGGTGTGTCGGTCGCGAAGTAGCTGAAATACAACAGAAGTTTGTTCGACTTCGAGTTAAATACGTAGAGACACCGAGGAAGAGGAGCTATGACCAACAGAGAAGACGAGTATGACTATCTTTTTAAAGGTGAGCACCTGTTTGTCTTCTAGCTAGTTAGCTAAACTTCGACAGCCTTCACCTGTGAGCAAGTGTCATTTGATGCCGAGTTGTTGGAGGTGTTGACCTCCTGACAACAAGGCGACATTAGATCTGAGACAAAAGCACCTGCTGCTGCTAGCTGCAACTTTGTCACGAATTACAACACGGTGTTACAGCCGCCCACCGTGTCATTTTAACACACAGGCGGCTCTTTACGTACTCTTATGTATTAAGCAGCATCTGCAGTGGAGTCCTCATCTTGCAGGCCGATGATGCAATCATGTTAGGATGCAGTGTTGGTCAACAAGGGGGTCATAATCTGAGGCGTCAAAACAGCCTCCAAGCAGACTGGCTCAGGGAATAAATGGAGTTTGGTCCAGTAGTTTTGTGCCTGGGGACTTCATGGTGTACTTGCAGGTCTAATCTACATACAGGTCTGAGCACTTGGGGAAAACATCACCTGTTATGTCAATAAAAGCTCACCTGCACCTACAGCAGTTTAACTCTAATAATTAACAGATCTCAGTATGGTCTAACAAACATTGTAACACTCATTCACAAGGACAAAACTGGGACAAAACCTTCCTCTTTTGGGGTTTTAATTTTACCCTTAATTAGGTTGTGAAAATATATTTAAAAAGATCAAAATCTTGACTAATAAACCTTGTAATTATCAGTATAATAATATTATTATGTCAGAGGTAAGGTCTGGCTGAGTTGATGTCTTACAGAGTTGACAAAAACTTATATTTTTATTAATTTCACAGCAGTCATAGTGAGTAGCCTTTATATTTCTCATAGTATTTAAGAGTTTTCTCAGTGTTGATCAAAAATATTCACTTTTAAACCATTATTCTTATTTATTTTTGAATTTGTAGGGCTACAGAGTTGACGTGTTATGTTTGAGACACACCTGAGAGCATCATTATTTAATGAACATATAAAATAAATAGAAAGCTCACCAGTACTTGAGCAGTATTCCTGCTTTTTTAGAAACCAGGAAGTGAGGCAGGAATCCTTGTGATGTAGCTAACCGCTTTTATACCTGATCGAAGTTTTTGTAGAGCTGACAGAAATCTTTGAAAGGCCTACTTTTCACACACACACACACACACACACACACAAATGAAACAAAGATGACCAGCAGTACATTAGAACACCAGTGCAATCTGTATGTACTGTTAGTTTTAATTTTTTTGTAGGCTTTTCACACATTTTTTAATTTTTTTTTTTAAAGCTGTGAATTCAAGTGTGTTGTTAAGTTGTAATTCTATTTATTTATTTTTGGTTTAGGACATGCTTGTCCCAATTCTCAAGAATGGGTGATAACCCCAATTTAAAGCCCAATCCCTCTCTCAGGTTGAGGAGGACAGCAGGGGGAATTTAAAGAAACTTTCTTTTATATGCAGAAACACTCCCACAATGTGTAATCTGATATAAAATGGACTGTAACTGTATAGTGTATATGTGTGGGGGTGGGGGGAGATTGTTCCCATATAGCTGTCTGGTACAAACAATAGTTTATGGTTGTACCTTGTCATAAGCAAAGGGGAAATGGAGCGCTCATGGTCTGTTCAAATATAGAACACTAAACAAGCGTGTGTTGTCAAACTGGAAATACCTGCATGCAGTGTGTGTTTGGGCCACAGAGAAGCTCTGTCCCGGAGCAAAGAGGAGATGAGATTTACTCACTCACTCACTCACTTGTTCACTCTAGAATGAAATGACATGACTCCTTGTGACCAAATAGCAAATTTATCTGAATAATGTGCAGCGGTGCAAGGACACTGATAAGGTATCGGCTGCCTTTCAATCCTTTGCTTAAACCAGGAAAGAGCTAACGTTATTGTAATGGCTATCCTTTGTTCCTACAACCTCCCTTTTGTCCCTCACTGTAAGATAGCATGAGTCAAGTTGGGTGAGCTGTTGGTGAGTCACCTAAACCTTTCCCTACTGATGGAGACATCAGCAGGAGGAGGTCATCCTGCTGGAGCATACCTCCTTTCTTGTACTGCACATGTTCATTTTTAGTGCCATGTGTTAGCCTCAATACTGGGTGTTTGTTTAGAAACTTTACAGACTGACTGCTTCACTTCTGGTTTAAAAGCACCTTTCATAGCCCAGCAGAGTAAATCATGTTAGAGCCATTAGCTTCTTTCAGTGGAAATATATATGATGCATTTTGATGCAATAAAATCAGCACTAATGAGAAATTAATTATCCTACATTAATAGGAGGTATCTCTTTTAGATAACCAGCCATAGCCTGCATTATACACTGCTTTAATTTCACCTAAATGGAAATAATGAGATTGGACATGTGATGGTGATCTTTTATTCCATGTACAGGGATTCAGGAGATGTAAATATATCAAATAATCTCTCTGAAAAGAAAGATTCTCAGTATAATTTCGTTTCTTTCTTCATTCCCACCTCCAGACAGTCTCAGGCTAGGCTGCATGACTGGGTGCAGTGTTGTACAATATGAAAGAGAGGTGTCATATCATTTTAGCTGAAGAATGCCAACGCAACAATAGGTTGGAGAATGGGTGTGTAATGCAGCCATGATTTTACCTGTGCGATGGCAGAGGACCTAGAAGTGGTTGCATAATGATTTTTGTCCTCCGCCCAAGATCTTTTGTCCCTGACGAAATGGAGAATGACAGTGTTGCCTTTCTAGGCATGTAGGAGAGCCACACCGTTGGTATGTGTGGCCCCTGTGTTTTCATTATTTTAAGGTCTAGCCTTTAGTGAGGACAGGTTTCCGCTTGTGTCTGTTACACCATACTGACAAACTTTAATGTACAGTTTCCCCTTAGAACGAGCTGTGTTGCTTAAATGCAAGTGTGGACACAGTGGTCGGTTCGTTAATGCAGTTTCAACATTCCCTAACAAGTTCCTATTTCATAACAGCAGGGTGGTGAGCTGGTGTGGTTGGTTCCTTTTGACACACTGACTCACCTGACAATTGTGGAAGTAGTTTTCTGACAAACACTCACTCTAATAATGTTTAAATATGTTTTAGGAGAGGATCCAGTAGAAGAGACGCAGCATTAAAGCCTCTGTTTTTATCATCATGATTACACACTAAGCATTAAAGCAGTAGCTCATTTCTACGCTGCACATGTAGTGATTTACTTCTCTCACCCCATGTCAGTAACAACTCCACTGCCATTTTTATCTAAAGCAAAACAAGGCCTCTCTCCAAGTCTAGTCATTGTTTGCAGATTTTATGGATTTTTTTATGCTTTGTTTGGGAAGTGTAAAATAGTAGCTTCTGTCAACCAAAGCAATTTGGAGGAAGTGTTTGGCATCCGGACAAACTTCAGCAGAGTTTTTGGCAGAGACTTGAGTTAGCTCTCAGATTTTTTAGTTAATGTTTAAACATTTAGATTTTTTTTTATTATATATTGCTTTTAAAACAGCAGGATAACTTATTCATACAAATTGATTTGAGCATACTGTATGTGTGGTATAATCAATCCACTAGCTCCCAACCTGGGGGCCTGGACCCCCACTAGGGGTCGCCAACATTTCACAGAGGGTTGCAAGGCCTTCTTGATTTTAAGGGGTGTAAGAAAAGTAAAAACAAAAAATACAGTGGGCCCATATCTCAGCATTTTATTTATTTCTGTGAGGAAATCTAAATGAAATTTTTATTTTTTAAAGTTTAAGAATAAGTAAAAAAAAAAATCTGACAGGATAAGGGCACAGTGAAGAACTGAACACAAGCTATGTTCACAGAGCCTTTATCCTGCTACACAGACTTGTCCTGCATTAAAAAAGTACACGGTTAAAACAACCAAAGAGTTACTATAACAATCGTCAAGCATCAGGGAGAAGACAACACGGACATTGCCAAAAAGAACCCAAGTAGGAACCCAAGTAAGACTGTATTAGAGCCCAACCAATATGTGTGTCGGCAGATTTTATCGGCTGATCTTGGCCTCTCACATATATAATGGTATCAGCGTGTATGCTGTCTGATATGCATATGAAAAGTTTTTTTTTTTTTTTTTTTTTGCACAACAATTTTTAATTCTTAATTTCCCATTGAAGTTTACTCTTTCAGTGCACTGATGTCATTTTTTACAGTAAAGTTTATTGTAGGGATGTCCTGATCAGATCTCAAAGATCCGTCTTGGGGCTGATCAAGGTATTTTTAACTGATCAGGTTCCGTTATATTGAGCTATGTAGAACCCAAAACATCAGCTGTCACACAGGTGTTTTTACTTTTGTTTACTTTCATGCACAGCAGCGTGGAGTGCAGCCTTCATCAGCTCTCCCAACTCTGTGTGTCTCTCCTCCACATGGCCAGTCTCCTGTGTGTGTAAGAGCTGGGGCTGAGCCCAGCCTGCTGTGAAACACCACAGGTCATAAAAGAAAACGCCTCCAGCAAAAAGCCAATAAAAGTAACATATTAATGTAGTCTAATCCACGCAAAAGATGTTCAGACAATGAAAATAATCACTCAGCTGAATACTGTGCAGTCACCTGGCTCAGACACAGGCTGAATACTCTCTTAAAGGGACAGAGAAGTTCCCTCAAGACATTTTATACTTAGTTATTTTGTAAAAAATGAGTAAGTAAATAACAGGCTGATAATTAAAAAACATTAAGGAGCAGCTTGGATGCAGGGATTTTTTTGTTAATGCATTGCAGAGCTATTCAGTTGTCAAGCAAAGGCTATACATTGGATTGATTTTTAATAACTTTAAAGTAGTTGAAGTGTGCACGTGCAGCTGTTTTATCCAGGAAAATAGAGCTTTCGGTATCGGATCAGGACTCAGTATTGGCAGATACTTGACGAGGACATCCTTAGTTCGTTGCACTGTAAACTAAAAAATGGTGCCTCAATTACATATCTTTGTCTTTGATAACCCTATGTACGAGATGATTGCATTGTAGATACAGACATTTAAATAGATATATAGGTATAGATAGAGAGCGAGATAGATAGAATCAGCTGATATATCAGTTTCAGGATTTTTTAACTCCCTAATATCGACATCAGCCCTAAAAATCCAGTATAGGTTGGGTTCTAGTATGATTGATTGTTATAAAAAGTTCCTAAAAGTAGTAGGAAAACTCATCTCTGACTCATCTCAGTATTCACAGGAAATCGCTTGTTTTATTTAAACTTTTTGCAGCTATTGTGGTCACTATTTGGATTAAATGTGCAGTTTATCAATTATTATTTTTATGTGTTGAATATTATATGAAATATCCGTGTCACTAAGTCAGGGGTTGCAAGTTTACTCAGCTATAGAAAAGGGGTCCCTAAAGGAAAAAGGGAGTCTCAGCTCTCTCCAACGTATCTAACGTATTCACAGTAAAGCACTGTCATGACTGTATTTGACTGGTGAAATCTTCAGTGAATCGCTGAATTCACCTGCGCTCAGACTGCGGGTATTTCCTGAAAAAGAGCAGGTGGTTCTAATATTCAGTATACTCAGTGGGAGTCCCCTGAATTTCTGCTCTACCTCGGCTGGAAGCCACTCATGTGTCATTGGCGAGACAGGCTGTCTGATTACAATGAGAATCAGACTTAATTCAAAAAGGTCAGCCCACACTGTTCAGTGTAACTTCTTTGTGGTTTAATGAACTGTTACACCAAAGATCTACCAGGAATTTACCTTTTACAGCTGCAGCTGTAAAGTACGCTGTGCTGCTGAAACACAATTGTGTATAGGATGTTCTCCGTATGTGTTTTTGGTTCTGGAAAATGAGATTGTGGTCGTGATATTGAAAAAAGTTCAAAACAGTCTGCTGATGATTGTTGTTCCTGTTTCTTTGCCTTTTCTTTTCTCCTGTAGTGGTGCTTATCGGAGATTCAGGTGTAGGGAAGAGTAACCTGCTGTCCCGATTCACCCGAAATGAGTTCAACCTGGAGAGCAAGAGCACCATCGGGGTGGAGTTTGCCACACGTAGCATCCAGGTAGAAGGGAAGACCATCAAGGCTCAGATCTGGGACACAGCTGGACAGGAGAGATACCGAGCTATCACTTCTGCGTGAGTACAGTACATCATTGAAGCCTTTGTGGAAGCACCGCTACACACATGTGCATACACTCGCCTCCACACATAGGCAGAGATACCCACTTCACACAAGTACATGTTCTCTTGAAGGAAATAATGGGATTTTTAATTGGGTCTAGCACGCATGCAGACGCACACAGGTTTGCATTCAAAGGTTGAAACAAGCATGACCTTGATATTGATACAGGCTAAGCACAGGAACTCCAAAGGGCCTCCTTTGCTTCCTCATGCATTGTGCCATTTTTTGTCAAAGCTGTTATTCACAGTCACATGAAGTTTGGCTGCGGATGTAGGTCAAAGGTTATAAACTTCCAATCATCCTCTGTCTATGAATTCAATTTACAATTACATTCCTGAATCAGTTAGATATTCTGAAGTGATTAACACAACAAAAATGCAGCTTTTTTGCCTCAGGACAGGAAGAGTTTTGTTGATTCCTCCTCATTTCTCGATCAAGTCCCTGTCCCAGCATTCGTCACTCTTTTTGAATTCTCTGCGTCGATGTGGCAACCAACCCCCGAGGCATTGGCATGCACTGTATCAATCCCCCACAGGCACTGAGGAAGCAGACAAGCAAGCGCAGCCAGTCTTTAATTAAAACAAGTGATGTCAGTCAGTGTTCACTTGTGTTGTGAGCGTCATCTGCTTCGACTGCACTGTTTTATTTCTTGTGTTTCTCAGCTTCAAACCAGGCCGAGCCCATGTGACACACCTGCAAAAAATCCAGATATCCAACAGGCTGCGACAAGAAAAAGTTGTCCGCTCCAGTGTATGTAATGTTGATCTCTCTCCTCTGTTGTCCAGGTACTACCGTGGAGCAGTCGGCGCTCTCCTGGTTTATGACATTGCCAAGCACCTGACGTATGAAAACGCCGAGCGTTGGCTGAAGGAGCTGCAGGACCACGCAGACAGCAACATAGTCATCATGCTAGTGGGCAACAAAAGTGATCTACGCCACCTAAGAGCAGTGCCAACAGATGAGGCCAGGGCCATGGCAGGTATTGTCACTGTCTGTGTGTGTGTGTGTGTGTGTGTGTGTGTGTGTGTGTGTGTGTGTGTGTGTGTGTGTGTGTGTTGCAGCCTGTGAGGTTTTGGACTCGGCCTTAACACATTATCACCAGGTTAGGTCAGGTGATAATGACCATAGATAGACTGCCCCCTATGGGTGGGTACTGGTCATACTTGAACCTATACCAGTACCAGGACCTGGAATTCGATACTTCATGTTCTCTCTCATGACAAAAATCTAATCTTTGAACAAGCTGCAGGGCGATGTAGTGGACTAAAAAGCAATGCTGCTTTTCTTTTGTAACCACATATAGAGCTAATTGTCTGTCTCTGTCCATCTGCTTGTATGTGTGTGTGTGTGTGTGTGTGTGTCTGCTTGTCTAGTAGTGATACAACGCTATTACTAAAATAATATAGAAAAGAAAATAGACCAGATGCCGAAATCAGCATGGCAGATTGGCGTTGTGGCTCACTGGAAAGCTGATGGTAGGTCCGCAGAGCTCCATGGCTGGCTTCCGGGCTCTGGGGCGCTTCCGCCTCCTGTCTGAAGTTGTACCCGTCAGCTCTGTGGAGCTCTGTTGCAGGTCCCAGAGCCCCATGGCTGGCTTTGGGAGCTTCACGGCAAACCTGCCGTTCTCACCAATGCGCTCTCAGGTACAGACATTTGGCACTGAGGGATTTAACAGGAATCGGTATTCTGCTGCTAGGTGCCCTTAAAGTATCAAGTTCAGGGGCGACCTCCAGCTCACCAGGTAGACTCTGCACCCCACATAGGCTTCATCCTTTGCAGCAGACCAGGTTCGATTCTGACCTGTGGCCCTTTGCTGCGTGTCCTCCCCTGTCTCCTCCACCTTTCCTGTCTATCCTCAGGTGTTCTAACAATAAAGACAACCCTCCCCACAAAATAATCTTTAAAAAAAAGTAGTGTTGAATACCAAATGTTTCTGACCGTGAGCTGCTTTAATTAGATCCTTAACTACTTTATAATGTGTTATATGATAAAATTAATGCTTCTGCTTTAGTTTACTTAGTTTGTACAGTCTTGTGTGCTCATTCCCAGCGGGAACACCCATGTTAGAAATGTTTGCACTGTGATACTGTAAGGCATTTTACATAAATATGTCCACCATACGTCCTTGGCTCGTGTTTGAGCACATGTAAGAAAGCACAGCACAAGGTCGAAAGGACCTGATTTAAATTAATGAAACTTCTTTTAATCAGAGCCCTTTGAGAATTTCAAGGCTTTGTTTCAGAGCATTTTTTTTTTACAGTCAACCTTTTGACACTCACAGCCTATTGTTTCAGAGCAGTTTGGCCACGTGTTTACTCTTGACCTTGAGTTTATTGGCTTGTGTCTGATTTCGTGTTGCACCTGCTTTGACTGGTAAATGACTCCTGTAGGACGGCCTGTGAGAACGTCAAATACAAGAGTCTTGTTGATGCATATTAGAGTAAAGAAATTCATCTACATCGCTAGATAAATATTGTTTGTACCTTTCTGTGCTTTCTGTTTTTCACTGATTTGTTTCTCTATACCACAAACATCATTTATGATGCCTCATTTACATTAAGACCATGTGATGGACACATACATGCAAAGTTTATGATGATACCATGAGTTAAGGCTCCTCCTCAAAGAGCCCAACAGCGACAGTGAACGAATCTGATGTCTCACTTACGCCACTGCGTGACAGTACTACCTCACCTGTGGTAGTAATAATTTCATTTGTTCATCTCCTTTATTCTTGGAATCAAAATGTACAGAGACAGAAAGAACAAACTGGAAAATGTTTATGATTAATGCAATCTTTGCAGCTTTATTACCATTTATTACGTAATATCACCAAATATCTGCTGGTTGCATCTGCTGTTCTAAACTTACTTTTAAGGGTACCAACTGAATCACAGCTGTACCACTGAATACTGATTTACGCTAAATCCATCAGCGCCATATTTCAGTACCTGAGAGCACATCTAGGTGAGAACAATGGGTTTAGACAGGAGGCGGAAGCACCCCAAAGCCAAAGAGCCAGCCACAGAGCTCCGCATTGGCCTCCCAGCAAGCCAAAACTATCACTGCAGCACCAATCTGCTGCAGTAGTTTTGGCATCTGTTCTTTTTTCTTTTCTATATTGTTTTAGTAATCGTCTAGCATCACTGCGAAACGAGCAGACACACACGTACACAAACAAGCAGACGGACAGATAGCCGGAGACAGAAGATGAGCTTTATGTGTGATTAGAAAAAAACAGAGGAGCAGAATTGTTTTTTAGTCTCATACGTCCCCCCCTGCAGCTTGTTTAAAAATGACATTTTTGTTATCACAGAGAAAGTTAAGCGCTAAAAAATATACTGTTGGGTTCAACTGTGAAAGGTGGGCGACCCTAATCTTCACACATAGGAAATGTCTCTCAGTTCCATGTCATACATACACTTGGGTGATGTTTGATGTTGGTCGGATTGAGTCAGCATAAAGAGCATGTTTTTTTAAATAGGAGTTTGTCCTTCACTGTTTGTTCTAGGTCTTTTTCATTAGAGGCATTTTGACATTTCGCAGTAGGAAAAGCACAGGTTGATTGATAAAAATGAATGATGGCTGAATTCCATTTTGCTGCTTTGGTTTCAGGGTCACGGCCAACTGTCGCACTGTCACATTGATGTACTGTCGCCTGATATCAGGCAGATTAGACAACTAGTTACACTCTGTTTCCATCTTCAATCTGACATTGTGTCCTGACTGATTTTTGTCGGGGAGGGAAACTTAATTTTCTCTAACCAATCACTAGAGACCATCGTATCAGCCTGAATCTAACCGCATTATAAGTCCACACTCGTGTAGCCATGCCAACATACCCGTTCTGTGCAGGGTTTTAAGAGTGGAGTGGAGAGAAGTTAAAACTAACTACGATTTGTGGCAGAAATGGAGAAGATATGACAATTTAGAACAGCCTTGATAGCAGCGTCTATCTTGTCTGTAGCACTCGCCATTGATACAACTCCTCATTGGTCTTGCCTGGGTCAGTGGTCTGTACCCAGGCAAGATGTACTAGGACAACAAAGTCAGCGTTAATTGGCAACAGCTGCACTTTTCCTACTATTAGATGTTTATATGTCTGCTGTAAAAAAAAAAAAAAAAGGAATATTTTATAGAGTGAACAGTTAATTCAGCTGTCACACAACCCATTGGATTTTCTATAATTATAAAGCATTTCACAGTCAGCAATCAAACAGGAAGGGGCTGAAATTACTACATCTCTGTGGAGAAACCTGGAGTGAGCAAATTATGCAGAAGAAATCAGTCGCTGAATCAGTGCAGTGTTAATGCCAGTACTGTACATCAATACAATCCACCTCAGCTCTGTGTAGATATGAAACTTAAAAATAATGCAGGCCTATGACATATTGTGGCGTTATGTGCATGTGTGTGTTACAGAGAAGAACGGCTTGTCTTTCCTGGAGACATCAGCGTTAGACTCATCTAATGTGGAGCTGGCTTTCCAGACTATTCTCACAGGTGAGTTTTGTGTTTATCTCGTGCCGTTTTTTAGTGTTCGTATCAAATTATAGAATGAAAGTGCATTTGATCCTGAAGGGCACCGATGTCTAAAGCTCCCAAGTCATCTAATGATAATGCTGTATATATACTGGGTATTGATTTGTCTGAAAGTGTTACATTTCCGTCCAGACGGTGATGGTTTACATAACACTGATCGTCTGCCACTAGATGGCAGCAAAATCCATCTTATCTGTTCTCAGTGCTCATCACTGATGTGCAGTCTGTGCCGACAACTCCACCTTAGTCGTTTCAAAAATATGACTAATTGGCACCATGAAACATCGCTCAGCCAGTCAGTCTTGGTGAGAGCTGCTATAAAGACGGCCAATCACCAGCAAACCACCATGCTCTTTGTTTATGGTCACAAATCCATTTTGACCCACTGTACCAGATGCATCTGTGGAAGACAGAAATTCTGATACTGGTTCACAGTTTTTTTTTCTCAAGTAAATGTGCCCAGGAGGCATATAGCAACACTAACGAGTGCATCTGATGTTGGAGCTTTGGTAACATGGAGGCAAAAAAAGCAATTGTTGTGACTGAGTCAACCCCTGGAGTGCTTAAAGGGGTAATCCAACAGTGAGTGGTGCTTCCACTTCAATTGCTCCAGGGGCTATCAGTCTGCAAGTATGCGCCACTTACTGCTTGTATTCTGCTTCTGCACCGTGTTCAATTCCCAGACGCCTCTGCTTGAGCCATTTGAGACACTCTGCCCACACCACAGCTTTATCAGTAATTTCTAATTCATAAAAACTTCAAACCAACAGGCCTCATTGAGCTAACGTAGCTAATGAGCTCGTTAAGGGAGGAGAAGAGAGGAAGTTAGCTGTGCATTAGCGGGCCAGTAAGAGCTGAACTTTAGACCCAGTGGAGCAGAGATGATGTCGCGTGTAGATATCAGCAGCAGACAGATCGTGGGTCAGAGAGGGTCATCCTGGTGGGTTATACAGGCGCAGCAGCTGGTGCTGTGTGGGATCTGTAGCATAGACTTTATAAAAACAATGGACGTAGCCACTGTAACGTCACCTATTGATTTGTGGACTGCTGTTTCGAAGTGTCAAGTTTTACATTTTGGCTGTCACCATCTTGGATTTTCAAGCTGGAAGTGACCATATTTAGATAAGAGCGTGGAGCTGTGGAGGAGCGAGGGATGGATTTAACTTGTAGACTGTCATCTCTAAACGTATATGCCCTTAATTCTGCACAACTTATAGCCTTAAAGATTTAATGTGTAGGATTTAGGGGGATATATTGGCAGAAATAGAAGATTAAAAGAATAAAAATCTGTTTCCTTTAGTGTATAATCACCTGAATTACCTGGTTGCAATCTGCAATCCTCACTGCTAGATGCCACGTAATCCCTCTAAATTTTACACATTGCTCCTTTGATAAAATGTAAATGGGTGCGTTATATAAAAATTCACCCCCCTCCCACACAGTTGTCATGAATGGGAAAATTAGCCATAGAGAGACATTTTGTTGTACCAGCCTGTAAACATGTTTATATCTGCTGTAAAGTTGGGCATTTTAACATGGGGGGATTGACTGGAGTCAGCCTCAAGTGGCCATTAGAGGAAGTGCAGTTTTTGGCACTTCGATGTCGGCTTCATCTGTCATCCCTGGAGACTGCCGCGTGGTCAGTAGTAGGGCGTCACAGTTTGACCCCCTGACGCGTCATGTTCCAGTCAGCCAGGAGTCTTGTTTTTCTTTGAACCGTCTTGCTTCATCTGCAGTTTTTATTTCAGGACTGTTGTGCTTCACATCTGGCTGTAGTTTAGAGTTAAAGCGGCAGTATGCAACAGTAAGTCAGAGAGGTGTCTGCACTCCTGCTCTCCTCTCTCAAGTTGATCAGCTGACCACTACGATGGCATCTAAGCCAAAGTTTAGGTAAACCACAATCAGAAATGTGTTCAAGTATTGAAGAAGCAAATTTGTATGTCAGTTGAAAAACACTAAAGTTGAGCTGTGTGTTTCAGCAGCTCTTGTCTGCTAATTATTGTGTCTGCTCACCAGCATGCGCATGTAGGGTCACAGACGCAAGACCAACAATGTCTAATGTTTGATTTTGCATTGCAAATTCAATGTAAACTGTATTGCATATTGTAGCATTGGGGAATGCCTAAATGAGACTTGGTACTGCCACATGACACAACGATGCCAGTTTAGGATGGAAAGAATCCTTTGCTGCTGCCAGGAGTCTGGATAGAACAGTTGTTGTTCAGTTTTGCCATGCTGTTTGTCCTTATCACAATATGTCCCACTGTTGGCTGGATTTATAGGCATCTACACATAACTCATTCCCTTTCACCCTTCTCTCCATCACAGCCATCTACAACATCGTGTCACAGAGGCAGATCTCAGGGCGAAGCGACTCAGACTTCTCACCAGCCTCCAACGTAGTGCCCATCACGGTTGAGCCCACCCAAAACTCAGCCAGTAAGGGTGTCTGCTGCCAGACCAACTGAGACCTTACCACTGACCTCCTCCTTCACCTCCAGGAAATTGGAGAAACAGCCAGATAGACAAACAGAGACAGACAGATGGACAGGGAGAAAAGAGAGACAGGTAGAGATAACCATTTCACACAAGGACACTTATACTGGGGTTGATTTGTCTGTTGTCTGGTTAAGAAATCTGAATACAGTATGAAGAGGGGGACCACTGAAGGAGGGATAGTAAAGACATTCAGACAGGGGGGGTGTGTGGTGTGGTGTGGTGTGGTGTGGGAGGATTACTATCAATGGAAAGAAAACGGGCGAGATGCACCGTACCCAGTGCATTAAGCTTTTGAAAGAGGTACATGATCAGAACTGATTCACAATCTAATGAAAAATTTAACACATTACGAGGTCCCTTTTGTATCTCATCACGATTTCCGTCTTTGAAAACTGTCCTCCCTTTTTTGAAAGCTCTATTTTACAAGCCAGTAAATGCTTTCTCTCAGTTTCCCACCACCAGGATATTGGGCAATAAAAATCCACATCCAAAAAGACTGAACTGCAACCCCTCTGTCACCACCCTCATTCCCATTCTCCCCTAAATGTATAATATTTAGAAAATAATGTCCCTCGCGGTATTTATTAAACACTAGATTAAGGTCTTGTTTGGCCAAAGGGTTTGCAATTTAACACTATTTGGTTTAGATTCTCCACGCTGATCGCTTTGCAGCAAAAAGGGAGCGCTCTTGCTTTTTTTGATGCTTTTGCCCACAATCATATCTCTGTGTGAAGAAGTTTGTGAGGGCAACTACCCCTCACTAATGGGGGAATAAGGGCTTCAAGTCATTTTTCCTAAATGCACATGCCGGAATTTGGTCAAAGTCGGCTGGTTCAAGTTGTGTTCCACCAGGCCACTCAGAGCAATAACATCCCTCCCTACCAGTGACATGTAATTTCTTTTTGATTGCTTTTGATCTTTGTTTGGAAGGCTTTCCTGCTCCGCGCACACTTTGTACTCTGCAGATGAGTCATGCTCTTGCAAGCTTTGCACAGCATTAACTCTAAATGAGACGGGATAGCTGGATCACTGGTGAATGGGTTAACTGCCTCACAAGTCGGTGGGATAGCAGCATTGGCTCTGCTCATGACTGTCTCACCCCTGCCCTGAACCTTTGGGTGTAGCGGGAGAGATTAGGGAATCGGTTTAAATGCATGGACAACCCTGTGCTGCTGCTTCTGCTGCCTGCTTGCTGGGATGGATAGATAGATAATGTTTCAGGGGATGAGGTAGTGAGGGCACTCAGCCCTGCCCTGCTCCTGTGGTCTCTGATGTACCCGAGATGGCTTGTTTTACTGTAAGTGAAATCCTCCACTGCCTGCTACCTACTCCTCTCTGTCTCTCTCTACACTGTATGTAACTGGAACAGGACTCTGCCTTCTGGGATCTCCCTGAGGTCTGCCCTCGCTCTCACTTGCCTGTATTTCCTGTGGAGGGGGCGGGGGTTGTATTCAGGAGCCAGGATTGGGTTTGTTGGTATCTAATAGTTTAATAGATGAGGAAAAGGAGAAAGGATGGTAGTGTTAGGTGGGGCTTAATTAAATCCAAAGGTTATGCACACAGATGGTGTTTATCCTGGTTATGTGTTTCCACATCAACACTGACTTCTGTTGACTTCACAGGTCTTAAACTGGGTGGTGTAGGTTAGGGCTTTTTAAACATTTATTCTAATATGTGTATATTTGGACTGCATATGTATAAATAAATCTCATTTGTTATAGCCTGCCTCCTCTCATGTGTCTTTAAGATGAACAATTAAAGCTGCAAGTAGTTGAGTTTTTCCATTCACAAATGTGGGAGAGGTCTGACTTAATTTGTCTTTTATATTTCTGAATGTCCGCTGTAATATAACAAGATATCTGCTGTAAAATGATAGTTCCTCTGATCATGGGGATTAAAATGTCAATGGTTGTTAAAGGAGCAATAAGTGAAATTCATCATTTCTAGATTGAAGGAATTAAAAAATCGCTATGTGAAGAACTAGAGGTGTAATTTCATCTGGTGCCCGCTAGGCTAAAACATTGCTCTCACTCACGGAGAAGAGGAGGAACGTTAGCGTTAGCTCCCAGTGTTAGCACTAGCCGAGTCGGCTGCCACCGGCTACTGGAGTAACTTACAGCTATGGAGCGCTTCTACCAGCTCCTCTAGTCACTGAGCCTCGCCTCCAGCTCAGCAACTATATTACATTTATTACAGGTACCATCATCACTGAAGTAGGCAGGGGAGTAGCTAAACACAGCAGAGACCGAGACATCGCTAACTGCTAGACGAGGCGAGTGGGGGGTGGGGGGTGGAGAGCAGAGGTAGAGGGAGGAGTGGCTCATGACACTTTGTTTTGGTCTACAGGCAGTGCACAACAGCAAACCTAGCGGTGAAACGATTTCGCTTTTTACCCCTTTAAGGATCAATTGAGCCGTAAAAACTTCACTCAAACAAAAAAAAAAATGCACTTGGTTTCAATTGGAGATCATTTCATTTTTGTTTTATTAGAAACATTTACAATACATCTTGAATCTTGGAAAAATAACAAAGAACCAGAACTAACATGGCGCAGATACAATAATAATAATAAAAATGTCTCCAAAAAATGTAATTCACAAAAAAACATGTGCTATAACAAATAAACCTGCAATATCACATGCCTTGTTGGGGCATGGCATACTGTAACAGAGTTCAAAGACTTCTTTTTTTTTTTCTTTTTTTTTATTCCATCCATCAAATTTGACGGTCAGCCACAGAGGGCCACATTGGCAACCCTCTTTCACTGTTCACAGAGAAACCAGAAACTAACGCCAGCTGATGCCGGCCCAAAAACTAATGCACTACGACCACTATTAGACCGGTATGAAACACCTCTACTGTGCTGGAAAAATTGGAAACGCTACCAAAGACAAACTGTCAGACTGTTTTGGCCTCTTCGGAAAAGGTTGCGAGTTTCACCAGCGAGCGTCACTTCAGCCCCCATCTTTAACGTGCAGCAGAAAATGTGCCATTGTAGTGTCTTTGTCAAGTTTCTCTCATCTGTATCAACTCTTACACAAACTAGGAACTTCAAGTTAATTCATATGAGGTGCGAACAGTCTTTCATCACTAACAGGTAACTGAGAGTATAAAATCCAACTCTGGTGTGGGGACTGAAATGGCCTCTTTACCTGGCTCCAAACTCTTGTCAACTTTCCAGTTTCCAAAGAGACTCCAACTATGAAAATCTACAGAGGAGAAACAGCCCAGGTGCCCTGATGTTCAAGGATAACAAAGGACCTGCACCGTTCCTCCTGTCTAAGTGACCATACAACATACATGCAAGCTAGTACGGTAATGAACCTGTTGTGTGTAAATGTGTGCATCTAGTTACATAAATCTACTACACAGTGCGCTGTTGTCCTCTCCTAGATGCCTCCGCTCAATTTGCACTCTTCACCTAATTAACACATTAGGGAAAGTCTCTCATAAAGGCTGATTATGCTCTGTCACTATTGATCACAAACTGTCCGCGTAGTAGATGCAGAAAATGTATGAATGAAAGTGTGTACAAGTTTTGTGTGGCCCCATTGGCGGGGGGGCCACAGCTGCCTCATTCATTCCAAGCATTGCAGTCGTAACATGTTTTTTATGTTTTGATAAGTAAAAGCGAGTTTAGATTACAGAGGAAATGAGTTATGCGTTTCAGTCAGTAACATGGGGTTAGTTGAAGGGGGAAAGGGGGTTACAGCAAGCAGCACTGCACAAAGAATGCTGATGCAGGAAAAATATATAATTGAGGCACAAAATTGATGCTCTGTGACTAAAATATCTCCAAATTCTAAAAAATATTATATTATTTTCTGTAATTATTCCATTGTGAATGCACTGATGTTGAAGTGGTGCACGTCTGAAGTTAAAATTTCAGCTATGGGGACCACTTGTTCCATGTACGTCATTTTCCATGAGGTACGTGGACAAGGCGAGCGCCCACAACTTTCATAAATAAAACTTCTAAACTTCTTTTCTCATTTTACTTATTAGTAGAAACTGACCTCCCTGTGTTTAGAAATATATTAACTTCTTGTAATTTTAATTAAAAAACAAAATGTCTTGAGGTTACTCATAAATATGTTGCTTCATTTTTTAACTTCTCATAAATAACATCCAGATACTGACTTTTTTTTTTTCCTCTGCTTTCTATGAAATAATAACCCATGTTAGCAAAATAGATTTGAGAAACTGTAATATGTTTTTTTTTTATTCATTTTAAGTTACTTTCTATAAATGTATGTGGAAGAACTCAAATATAGTCTACGCTGAAAACCTGTCGCAAATTCTTTCCAAAAAAAAAAAAAAAAAAAAAATTAAAAATACAAACAAAAAACTTAAAGCTCACTTGTAAATTGACAAAACAATAAGCATAAGGAGTGCATTGAGTTGAGTGGTCTTTTTTTTTCCTTTTTTTTGTTTTTTGTTTTTTACATTCAAATGCATTACTTGCTCAATGTGTGATTTAGACAGGTTGGTACAATTGCTTAAGTGCATCCATTGAAAATAAGGATTTCCTATCACTCCTTAAAAGGGATTCTACATAAATGCATAAAGACCTTTTCATATCAAGAGAAGAAAAACATCAACAGTTTCTACCATTACTATAATAGTAAGCTTAATACAATATTGTAAATAATACTAACAAGAACTTAATGAATCAAATGTCACTGCGAGTCACCCCACCCCTTTGTTGCTCCACTGAATTAAAAAAGTATCCCATATCGGGTGAGTTGGACAAATGAAACTTACACCATAGCATATTCTTAAGAATCATAATTAAACTTTATGTATCAATTAGTTAAACTACACGGTAAATATATGATTTTAAACCGATGTTAACTTTAAGGTCTTAAAGCTTTTTATATCAGGCTGATGAATTCTTTATGCGATCTTAACTTTTTTTCTCAGATAAATCTTACCTACTGTGCTATATCTCACTAACATGCAGTTAAACTTAAGGGTACAGTTAATGGCTCTCCAAACGATGAAACCACAGTGTTGTTTTGTCCACTGTCACCTTGTTTAATCCTTAACAGTTAACTCTGAGGGGGGGGGGGGGGGTTTAAAATTAGGAACTAAGTCTGAATTTCCACTGGCTTGTCATTGTCAACACAATTTTTTTTTTAATTGCGTGGGCAGTCCATTTTTATCTGACTTTCTCCAGATCGGGCGACAAAGATTAAGACATTCCCTGGACTGTTCTTCTCCCATGAACCTAACCATGACAATAGAAAACTATTCAGCGGATGGTGTAAGTGCCAGGATGTGCTTTAAGCTGATCTCTTTGGGGAGAAGTAAGTCTGTTAACGACGCCTCTGTAGTGTTAAACTAATCTTACAACACTGAAACATGATATGCCTTCATTTCGCAGATATCGATTGAGCGGCCTCTAAGACTTTTTGGGGCAAACAGAGTCTTAATAATCCTGATTCGATTAAACTCTAAAACCAATGTTGATTCTGACGCTAAAATAAGTTAACTGATAAGTTGTCCTCTCCTTGCGTTTTGTTCTTTGGCTACGTCTGACCTTTTCCTTTCAAAAACAATACAGATGAAAAAGTAGGTGCAAAACAAAATCTCAAATAGAGCCATGACTGCTATGTAAACAGAAATCATCTTAAGATATGCTATAAGTAACACGCCTGCCCCTGTGTGTAACTGAGAGAGGGTAAAGATGGACAACATGAGTGACTGGTGCATCATCATGTTGTCCTACCCTCCTCTTCCCTCTCACTGCTGTGTTATTGTCTTTTTGACCAAAGCCTTCAAGACATCAGTCTGTCATAAGCAAAGTCACCAGCTCCTGCTTTTTAACAAACAGGACAGCCCTCTGTGCTTCCGCTCTGGTCTTGTTTGTTTGTTTACACTTGACTTTTACACTCACTTCTACAGCGCTATGAGATTTCCTCCAAGTTTATTTCAGTGCTACTCAGGAAAAAGGAATCCATAAGTTTTGTCTTGACCCACCCTGTGATCTGATTGATATTCAACTTAAAAAAAATAAAAAATTAAGCAATCACTTTAAGACCCTGATGAACACAACAAGAACAATTACTTATCCTGAAACTGTTACTAATTAATTATATCTCTGTTTCTACTCTGGCATGAATCCATAATGAATTTTAAGCAGATATGAGACAGAAATGCAGCGGTATTATCCTAATAATCAAGGTCAATTTCTGAATAGAATATTATTTAAAGAACTGACTAAGCAGGCTCCTCTGTTTATTGTCCCAGTATAGTCCTATTATTGCTTTTCATCCTAATATACATAGAAACAGATTTATTCATTAGGGGTTATTACACATACTATTCCTTCCAGTTTTTATTTGAGATTGGATTTATACATCAGCGGCTTCATAAAAGGATATTCATTATTACAGTTTATAGTAGTGTCTGGTTAATTTCTTATCTATATATTTGGATGAAATACTAAGTTAATCAGTTTAAATAATATTTCTTAAATGTATGGATCTATCTAATATACTATTATAGTCAAAAAGGAGGATGGGACGCATATATAAAAGATTTACTCCCCCTAAAACTCAGAGACATTTCGACTTCCGTATGCTAAAACATTGACAATGACACCCTCAGCTTGTAAAAATAATCAAAACCTCACTTTAAGCGGGCCTTTGTCTGGATGTTCATAACTGATACACATACTGTATTTACATAGATGCTCAGAGTGCTTTCCCATAAAGTACAATACTCATTAACTCATACAGCGTCTAAACAGGGAGAATCTCCAATAAGCCCTCTCTTCATTAAACCAGTGCAACACTCAAACCAAGTCATCAGCATTGACTAAATGGATGAGAGGTCTCCCAAATTACCACTAGTACTACTGTAGTATTAAGAATAACAAGAACCACCATAATACAAAAAAATGATAGGGAATCCTT